GAAGCTGGACACAAAGAAGTCACAGGGTCTAGAGAGCTGTTGGCTCCAGGAGGGAATCTGGACACTGCTGACTACTGGACCCTCTAAACAAACAGGGATGGGGGACAGGGTGGGTTATCCCAAAGGAGGCAGAACCCAGAACTGGACAGCGCCTAAAGGTAGAGAAGCAGGAAAAGTGGTGACAGAGGGGTAATAGCGACCCACCCCCCCAAAAAACGGTGTTAACTCCAAGGCTGCTTGTGAACGCAGAGCCTGGAGGAATGAGCCTCTTCAGGAAGACAGGCAAAGAGCTAGCTGTCCTTCATGCTGCACAGGAAGGGGTGTGCGGGGCTGGCTCATGAGAGAGTGAGTTTCAGTACGTGTTCAACAACTGTAGTTGTAATAATACAGGAGAACTAGTCCTTGCACCTGATTGAGCGTTGGTAGTCTCATCTCAGCATGTGAGCAGCCTCTCTGCCCTTGCTCCCCTGGGCTTCGGAGGAAGCCCCTCCCCGCCCCCCCCCTCTCCGTGACCGCCTCACATTACAGCCCACCTCCTGTGTTTTATGGAGTGACCACACGTGACCACACGTGCGCCTCCCCCACAAACACTGGATGGAGCTCCTCGGCAGTGCCCTGCCTGATTTCTCTTTGAATCCTTAGCATCTAGATATTTGGATATATTAGTGCACGATCGTGTTTGTTGAATGAATCAAATGACATTTATTCAGTTAAATGAGCACTTAAAAATTTCTTAACTAATTCCTTTTATTAAGTTCTTGTTCAGAGTCCTGCACCGTGTTACATACTGGCAAAACAAACAAAGATAAATTAGATCAGACACTGCTCAGCACTGTGGGGCTGCACCCTGGCGGGCCTAGCCCAAAGAGGGCCTAGTTCCTTCACCCATAATGATCAAATCCGACTCCGTCCCGACCGCCAAAACACCCAGGACAACACTCATTTAGGAGAGAAGGCTGTCACTGAAATACCGTTCACAACCCTAGTAAGTGCCACCTTTCCTCTCTTTTAAGATTGTTTCCGTTTCATTGTGATCATCATGTAATGAGGTGACTAAACTGAACTTTCTCAAGGTGAGGCCACACTGGGACTTCACGGCTGCCCATCAGACTGCAGCCATGCCCTCTCCTCAGTGATCCCTCAGATCCATGTTCACTGCGAACGGGGGCATTTTCATTAAAGTGTCCACGGTGATTCATAGACGCCTTCCACCTGAGGTTACGCATAATTCAAAACCATCAGCACACTGGAGACAGCGGCTTAAATTGCTCCTTCCAGGACATGTTACCTTGCATTGGCCCACTGGGAACTTCATTTGCCACTCCGAGGTCCAATTACTCTGCCCAGCTGTGTCCGTCCAAGGCTCCTCGCCCCCCCCCCCCCGCCCCCCAATCACTAAGAAGCTGACTCTTTCCTCTGTTGGCATCAACACTGCCCACTTTATGCGAAGCTGCTGCCCCCTGTGAGGTGAGACATCTCAGAGGGGAAACCACTCCACAGGGACCTACGGTGGCAAAGCGGAGAGCAGGCAACGAGGCAGCCAGCCCCGAGTGGACAACGGGAGAGGAGTCCGCACAGGGACGGAACCCAAACCTCGCCCTTGGCGGAGGAGAGCAGGAGACGGCGCCCTCGCCTGGCGCGTCTCGGCCTCGGCTTGCGGGACCCTGGGCTCCCAGACCAGCCGGGTGCATTCATTCGCCACCAAATCTGTACCGTCAGGACCTCGGTGAAGAGGTGGGAGAAGCACAAGAGAGAGTATATTTAAAGTATACTTTTAAAAACCTTTAAAAAAGAAATCACAATATCTCACATCCATTGATGATTTTTGCCTGAATCTGCCAATGCTATAATGATTTAAAAACTATGTGAATAAGTTTCTTTCCCTGGTCTCTGACATCTGCTGAATTGTGGAGCCGGGCAGGGCTGGCGCGGTGCCCTGCAGCTCAGGCGGCCCTGCTCCCCATCGCGTGAGCAGGCGCTGGGCCAGCCATCCGCCAGCACCGGTGCTCATCCTCACGGCTTCCTGGGGGGGGGGGGGGGGGGGGGGCGAGGACAGGAGCCGCCTACAAACTGAGAGGGGGTTGGGCGAGTTCATGACTAGAGCCTCTGGAGGGAAGTGAGTCTGGGGTAAGGCCAGTTGCTCCTGAGACCCCTGAAAAAAGTTCACAATGTCATGTGTGACCAGCCACGCTGCCCTGGCCTCCCAGGGGTCGGCGGATGTCCACCAAGTCCTCCCTGCGTCGACCTCAGCCTCGTTAGCTGTCTGCCTCCCCTCGCCTCCGGACAGCTCGGCCACCCGGTCCCTCAGCTCATCAGTAGGCACTGGGTGAGCAATCTCGGGCCCAGCACTGTGGTAGTACCCTGCCTGGATTACCTCATGTGTCACAGCCCCCCTGTGGGAAAGTCACTGTCAAGGTTACCTTCTTGTATTGATAAGGGAACTGAGGCTCAGAGAGGTAAAGCCATCTTCTCCACCATGTGACCTTGGCGGGAGAGGTGGGTTGGTGACCTTGGCGGAGATGTGGCTGTGGTGACCTTAACGGGAGATGTGGGTTGGTGACCTTGGTGGAGATGTGGCTGTGGTGACCTTAACGGGAGAGGTGGGTTGGTGATCTTGGCGGGAGAGGTGGGTTGGTGACCTTGGCGGGAGAGGTGGGTTGGTGACCTTGGTGGAGATGTGGCTGTGGTGACCTTGGCGGGAGAGGTGGGTTGGTGACCTTGGCGGGAGAGGTGGGTTGGTGACCTTGGCGGAGAGGTGGCTGTGGTGACCTTGGTGGGAGAGGTGGGTTGGTGACCTTGGCGGAGATGTGGCTGTGGTGACCTTGGCGGGAGAGGTGGGTTGGTGACCTTGGCGGGAGAGGTGGGTTGGTGACCTTGGTGGGAGAGGTGGGTTGGTGACCTTGGCGGGAGAGGTGGCTGTTACCTCATCACACTGGCCACCCCTCTTTTTCTGACTGCTTCAGTGTGCTCGGGTTGATGGCGACATATTGCCTCTCAGAAGTTCCAGCTGTGTGACTAATAATAAGGCAATGATCACAGCTAACATTCATTAGGCTCCTGTTATGCTTGGCTCTGGGCTGAGGCAAGATTGTGTATTCAAAGGAGAAAAGAGAGGCACAGAGAGGTTGTGCCTTGCCCAAGGTCACACAGCTGGTCAGTGGCAGAGCCAGGCCTTGGACGCAGACCTCACTGAGCCCTTTTCCCCTGTGGTCCGTGGTCCCGCGTGCCTTGAATTGGGTTAACTTGACCATTCAGTCAGTCAGACGGTCAGTCATTAGATATTAAAAACTTGCTATGCACACTCCAAGTGAGGGGAGCAGAGGAGCCCAGGGCATTGGTCTGACTGTGGAGGACAAGTGAGGGTCCCAGACCAGGGAACACAGTCCCAGGGTGATGGGACATTTGGGAAAGCAAAGAAGGGACAAAGGGTGACAGGAACAGGGAAAGGAATTTAGAGCAGAGAGCTGAAAGATGAAAGGGTTACCAAGAATAAGCTCTGTCTACTTCACAATTGTGCATCAATTTTGTTTATGGCCTTGTGGGGATTTATGATGGGAGGCATTTGGATCAAGGAATAGGGAGGAATAATTTTGAACTGCAGTTGACTACAAAGGCATGTGTGTGTGTGTGTGCGCGCGTGCGCGCGTGCCACGCATGCATACACATGCAGTGCAGAATGCCAAATAATTCTCACTTTGCCATTTTCGACGGTCTCAACAGGCTTTTGTGGAGGCTATTTTCGTCTGTTTTTGTCATTTCATATACATGCAAGGCTGCTCCACTGTGATTCCAAGGGCTTAAATGGCGCTTTAAATTGCTGCTCAGTTTACAGAGGTGAGGTTTTGTCTTGCCTGTTCTCTCTAGCTCACCATTGCTCAGCTCATTCCCTGCAAATGAACTGCACTCGTTTGTATTCACAGTAGCACTTTGCTGCTAGTGTGGTGAGTTCCTTCTTACATTCTCGGCAGAGCGCTTCCTGGAACTGACGAGTTAATACTACGCCCACAACTGTGATCCATTCCTGGAACGTGGGGAGTTAAGGCACTTCTAACTTTTAATTTCTCTTAAAATGAGCGTATAACTTCCTACCATTCCCATTTGGATATGTTTACAACTGACAGTGTTTTAGCTTTATTACTTAGAAAGAACAACCGAAGGAGACACATTTTGGGCTTGCAAATTCCACCTAGTGAACTACCCGTCAATTTCAATGCCTGGCAATTTCCTTCCATACTGACCCACATAAATGTCCTTTAAATTTGGAGTACCCCCTCTTTTTAGAATATTGTTTTAAGACTGAGTGGGTGCCATGGAAAAAAGGAAATTCCTTTGGCATGTTAAACCCGTCACCAGCCTCTGGTGCAACTGTTCAGGGCAGTGGAATAACCGTGTGGCCGGTATTTGCTATCAAATCTATCTCTGAATGGATGATGAGGCCCCAAATCAAGGAGAATGACATCTTTGCAGTTGGCTCAGTTGGATTTATTCTCAGCTTACCAGATGTGTGACCTTAAGCAAATTACTTTAACCTCTCTGGGCCTCAACGTCCTCATGTGTAAATGGAAATATTAATAAGCACCCACCTGATAAGAATTAGAAAAGATCATGCACACAGACTGGTACATAGTAAGTGCTTAATAAATGTTAGCTATCTGACTCTAAGAGCATTGGCATAGACAATGCTTGGCTCCCATGTCTCTGCCAGTCACCCAGATGTTCATATCTAAGGTAGAGAAGAGCGAGTACAGGTTCCAGCCGCTAAAATAATGGCCTTTATCACTGGTTGCTGTCATAATGGGATGACCAATCTTTATTACTAAGAACCCAAACTGCCTATTTAATAGCATTTCTCATTCATGAGGTAAAAACAGTCTCTGACAATCAGACATTTCTGCCTATGGTACTGAACAGTCTTTAAGAGAGAAGAGAATGAAGCAGTAGACCAAGTCTGTTTTGTGACATGTGACAAAGGTGTAATGTCGTTTGTAAATCAAACTCACCACACGGAGTCCTTGGTGAGTTTGGAATTCACATTCCCATCTTCTTCCAGGAAGATGTCCATTTGCAAATTGGCATTGTTATCGTGGGCTGAGAAGTAGTTGGTAACGACTCTCGCCGGTATCCCAAGGCATCGCAAGACTGCGGGCAAGAAGGCAGACCACAGTGAGCCACCTCACCAAAACCTAACACACAGGGAGCAACCGCTTCTCATAGGGACTTTCTTTAACAATGTCAAAAGTTCAGAAACAACAGAAGCCAAACGGCCGAAGTAATGATTAGTGAGAGGTTCCTGTGCGCAAACCAAGAAGACAGTTCCCAAGCCAGGAACACTCAAACCAAAACGTGGAAGGAGGCTCAGGGTATATTGTTACAAAGCAGCTTATGCAGGGAGGAAGCAGTGACTTCCTTCTCCACGGTGACTGGTTTCGATGGTAGAATTTTTAGTGGTCGCCTCCAGCAGCCTTGGGAAGCAGTTCAAGTTTTGCCTACAGTTTCCAGAGGCAGATGGAAGAAATGACCCAGGTCAAGTTGGCCTTGCAAAATAAGCTAAAGTGAGCTTTGTATGACCAAACTGTTCTTTTCTGCCCGGGAAATCTTCAAGGCTAGTCTCTGTTTTTTACTTTAACACCAGCGTGAAAAGCCCCGTGTGCCATGTCCTCAGCTGTTCCCTGCTGGAGAAGGGGTCTTGTCCTGTCGAGGTGCAGAGAAACCCTGCTGCCTGACCTCACAGAGCTGCAGTGGGGCCAGGTGAAGCCAACTGGCATGGAGGCCCAGTAACAGTGTCCCCAGGGTTTAGTTGCAAACACTACAATTGTCACAGTGGTGTTATTTTAGTCCAGCTAAGGAGACTATGTCTCTGAAAATAAAATAAAAAAACAGCTAATAGGACGTCAGGAATGTACAAAGCAGGTCCTCAGCGGGGTTTGCTCGGTGACACTTGGTGGAGGGTGACACCACAGATTCATTTTAATTGTTAGATAATAAATTACCAGGATGCATCTCTTGCCATATGTACCTATTGATTAAATTTAATCCAGATGCCCTCCCTGGCTCCCAGGACGCCACACATCAGGACTCATTGAAAATAATTCAGCTGACAATTTTAAGATTAATGACTTAGCTTGTCTTTTATTTTCTCAGAATAGTTTAGCATTTTTAACCAAAGACTATCCACGTCCTGCAATAGAACAACCTTGCAAGTCCAAACTGGAATCTGGTAAGGCAGATCTTGTCACTGCGGCACCAGGACCTCCCTCCTTCCAACTCCCCTCTTCGGGTTTGTCCTCACGATATGTCCTCATGTTGTGCTTCTGCCTTGTCCCAGCTTACCATCAAAGCTGGGAGGAGGTCCGGTGACCCTTTCGTACAAAAGGCATAAATGGACGGGAGGTGCTATTTTATCCAGTTCTAAGCCCAAAGGAATTACACTGGGATAATGAAGTTGTAGGCAGCAGGAGACAGAGGGCCCTTCCTGTGTCCCTGGAATCATTTAATAAGAGTGGTTGCCTCTGTTGGGTGCTATCTACATAGTCTTGGCTTGTGAACCATGAGGGAGGGGAACTACTATCTTGAAGTTTAGGCTTCTCTCTAGAACTTCAGAGACCAGCCCTTCTAGGAGACAATACATTGACCTTGATTGCTCTCAGGAAGTAGACATACATTCTTTTAGTCCTTGGGTATACTCAAATGGCTAAGAAAATCATTTTACTCATTTTGATGCCATGGGGAAACAAAACACATGATACAAAACTCCTGATTTCTTCTCACTTGGATCAGTGACTAATTCTTAGACTGTAACAACTTTGAACTAAAATTGAGACACTTAATAATCATTTATTTTTTCAAAAAGGCCTCATCCCAGCTTCTAGGCTCTGACCTCCTCCTTGATTTTTCTGAATAAAAAAATTGTTATCTGGGTAAAACATTCTTTACTAATGAGCAAGCAGAAAGGACACGCCAGTTTGAGCTGAATGTTTTCTCCAGTGCTGTGGAAATGGCATGTGAATGGAGATCATTACCAATGATGAAGACACACTGAAGTAGATGTATTTTTAAAAAAATATTCATTGAATTAGCAATAACACTGAGCCATTTCAAAACATGATGCACGAGGCTGAAGAGAACAATTCTGTTCCCATATGCTTTCTTCTATGGATGGGATGTTGGGTGGATTAAAACCCAGAAAGGAGCTTGGGGAATGAAGATTGTTCATTAAGTTCTGATACTTAATTGCTCAGGGACATTGAGACTCACATGTAAAAATGGAGATAAAAAAAATGAAGAAGAGACCACCTGCCACAATCCCTTTCATAGCTAGGGTAAAAATTAAGTAGATATATTCATAAAACCTCTCATTTGATAAACAAGCAACTAAGCATATTTATAAAACTTCTCAATAACAATAAGCAGCATACCTCTTTCTTTACTATGTATTACTTTAAATTTGCCTAATTTAACGTTTTAAAAATGGTGGGGGTTACTGAAAAGAAAATGCCATATCCTTATCCCCACAGCCCTACTTGGCCCCTGGGACCCTCCGTTTCTCTGGATGTAGAATGATGGATTATGTAGGAAATAGTCCATCATTCTTTCTATAAAGAGTCTGCAGTCAAAGAGAAACTATGAGTATATTTGGCCCAGAACAATTTAATTATGCATTGACTAGATCCCAGAATAGCCACCCATAAATTCTATGGCGCCAACAGGGCTTGCTAGGTCTCTTTGCTAGATTATAGATAAAATGTCGTGAAGTGAAATTTCCTTTACATTAAAAAAATATTACTCGGTTGGATACTTACATGTGTTAAAGACACCAGCAAAAACCCAGCACTGACCATACCGAACTGGATTCTTGGAACTATGATATTCCAACAGAATGTCGATGCTTCCAGTCCAGGCTGATGGAGGGACCCCATACTCATAGATGTTGTCCCAGGATCCAACAATGACACCATCATCATCTTTGGAATTAACCTAAGTGAGACAACAAGTGTTGAGAAGAAAGAAAGATCATTTAGAAAATTTTCTCCAGACTCTGACATTGGGCAAGATAAGGCTTTCAGAGCCTTCCATATGTCCTACAGGATGAAAACAGCTCACCACGGTTTAATCCACTGTTATGTTGTCAGAGAAGGTGATATAATGCCCTGGCCAGTTTTGCTCAGCAGTTAGAGCATCAGCCAACTGACTGAAGGGTCTTAGGTTCAATTCCCAGTCAAAGGCATGCACCTGGGTTGCAGGTACAATCCCCGGCCCCAGTCAGGGGGTTGTGCATGAGGCAGCCAATTGATATGTCTCTCTCACATCAAAGTTTCTCTCTCCCTCCCTCCCTCCCTCCCTCCCTCCCTCCCTCCCTCCCTCCCTTTCACTCTATCTTTAAAAAAGTTAATGGAAAAAGTATCCTCAGGTGAGGGTTTTTTTTTTGTTGTTGTTTTTTTTTAAAGGAAAGAAAGTGATGTAATAACTAAGGGAAAACCAAATAACCAGACTTCCTCTTACATTGCATATCATTGTAGGAAAGTGTTGAATAGCAGACAGGAAGACTCGCAATGTCTTCTCCGTGTGTTTAGGAGAAGATACATACAGGGAACTTGGTCTGGTTGACATAGTGCTGGAGGATGATGTAAGAAAGAGAGGAGGGTGACCTACAAATGAAGACAGCTCAAGTAGGGATCTTGGTGGAAGAAAAACTCAAAACTGACAAATGACAAAAGATGTATAGGCAGAGTGAGGGCTTAGACCAAAGTTTCATGGTCTAAGGGGTTTTGACTTGATGATGAGTGGCAGACTCCAATGAATTGAAAAATTAAACAGATGCTGACATGGGAACCATTAAAAGTTAATAACAGACTTCTAGTCAAGATGGCACGTAGGTGAACATGGTACTCACCTCATCCCACAACCACGTCAAAATTACAACTAAACTACAAAACAACTATCATTTAGAACTGCCTGAAACTGAGCTAAATGGAAGTCCTAGAAGTAGGGAATTAAAAAAGAAACCACCTCTAGCCTGGTAGGAGGGGCAGAGATTCAGAGCGATCTGGTCCCACGCCCACATTGATAAAACTTGGGAGGGCTGTCTCAGCTGATGGTGGCCCTGAGGAGTGAAGGGTCCCATTCCCACACCAGGCCCCCCAGCCTAGGGTTCAAGTGTCAGGAAGAGAAGTCCCCATAACTTATGGCTGTAAAAATCAGTGGGGATTGTGACTGGGTGAGACAGCGGGCAGCTGGAGTCCCAGGCATTCCTCTTAAAGGGCCTGTACATGGACGATCTCAGACTCACTCCCTCTGAGCTCCAGTGCTGGGACAGCAGCTTGAAAGGCACCAGAGACATACAGAGAAGAACTGAGTTGTTTGGCATCGGGGAGAGAGCTGGAGGGGCCCCTTTTTCCCAGACAGAAGTGCTGGCAGAGGCCATTGTTCCTTTGATGAGCCCTCCCCTGAAAGAACCAGCAGATGGCACCATAACTGAGACTCCAGCAACCTGGCTCACACTGGTAGCCCCGCCCTGGTGATTCCCTGAGGCCCTGCCCCACTGAACTTTCAGGCCCACCCAAGCTGTGTCCAGTAGCTTTACCATAGCAATGGCCTGTCTTGCCTCATACTTCAGATTTTCCTAAAATCTCTCGAACAAGCAGCATTCAGCCTCAGTGTGCACTGTATCCCTTGCTAAGTGGCCCCAGGCCTGGCACTAGTAGCAGCAAGCTTTGGTTTTCAACTTGACCTTCCCAGGCACTTCCAAGCCCAGCACAAATAACAGCCATTGTAGATCGCTTTGTAGCATATGCCTGGTGGCCTCAGGAAGTACACAGGCAGTGGCTGACCTTGGCCTGCACCTACCAGGAGGCCCCAGAGTCAGCGCACCCAGTGAACAGCTTCAGACTTTGTTGAAGCATCACCACCACACAACCACTTCCACAAGCACCCCTCTAGGGGTAGACTCAATGGCACCAGAGCTCTGTTGAAGTAAGTTCTGCTCTGTGGGTGGGCCCTTGCACAGTTGATGCTCTATGGTGGTCAGAGGTCAGTGGTCAGTGGGCACAGCCAGTCCTTGCAGCCAATTGGCCTGGGGTAAATCCCTCCCATTGACATGCCAACAGCAATCAGGACTCAACTACAAGAAGAAAGTTTACACAGCCTATATGGGGGGGGGGGTATACCTGTGGTGCCCAGTTTGGGTGATCGGAGAGGTAGAGCTGCTGGACTCCACAGAACACCTACTTTATTAGGCCATTCTGCCAAGCCTGGGAGATGTAACAGCTCTACCTAATACATAAAAACAAATGCAGGGAGGCTGCCAAAATGAGGAAACAAAGAAACATGTCCCAATTGGAAGAATAGAACAAAACTCCAGAAAAAAAACTAAACAAAATGTATAGAAGCAATCTATTAGATGCAGAGTTTAAAACACTGGTTATAAGGATGATCAAGGAACTTAGGGAGGACCTCAAGAGCATAAAAAGGGACCAGTCAGAAATGAAGGATGCACTAACTGAAATGAAGAATAATTTACAGGGAATCAACAATATGTAGAGTAAATGAAGCTGAGAATCAAATCAATAATCTGGAATATAAGGATGCAAAAAACACCCAATCAGAGCAGCAAAGAGAAAAAAGAATCTGAAAAAATAAAAATAGTGTAAGGAGCCTCTGGGACAACTTCAAGCACACCGATGTTCACATCATGGAGGTGCCAGAAGTAGAAGAGAGAGGGTAAGAAATTGAAAACTTATTTGAAAAAATAATGACAGAAAACTTCCCTAACTTGGTGAAGGAAACAGACATACAAGTCCAGGAAGCATGGAGAATCCCAAACAAGATGAACCCAAAGAGGCCCACACCAAGACACATCATCATCAAAATGCAAAAGATTAAAGACAGAGAATCTTAGAAACAGCAAGCGGAAAGCAGTTAGTTACCTACAAGGGAGCTCCCATAAGACTTTCAGCTGATTTCTCAAAAGAAACTTTGCAGAAGGGAGGGGCAAGAAATATTTAAAGTGATGAAAAGCCAGGGCCTACAACCAAGATTACTCAACCCAGCAAAGCTTTCATATAGAATCGAGGGATAGACAAAGAGACTCCAAGACAAGAAAAAGCTAAAGAAGTTCATCACCACCAAAACTAGTATTAAAAGGCCTTCTTTAAGAAGAACAAAAGATAAAAATATGAACAATAAATACTTTTCTATCAACACTTTAATCTATAAAACAAAATAAACCAGCAGAACAGAAATAGACATATATACAGAGAATGTTTTGACAGTTGCCAGATGGGAAGGGGGTTAGGGACCGGTGAAAAAGGTGAAGGGATTAGGAAGTACAAATTGGTTGTTACAGAATAGTCATGGAGATGTCAAGTAGAGCACAGGGAATATAGTCGGTAACATTCTAATAACTATGTATGGTATAGTGTCAGATGGGTGTGAGATTTATAGGGATGATCATTTTGTCAGTTATATAATGTCTAAGCACTGGGGTGTACACCTGAAACTAATATTATATGTCAACTGTAGTTGAAAATAAAAAGCTATAAAAATTTTAATAGAAATTAGATTCCCATTGGTACTTTAAAGAATTTGTTTTAAATAGTTGCATTAAAGAAGCATTTTTATTTATGATTAAGGTGATTAAGGTTTTATAGTTTTGTTAAAAGATGTTTACATAAAGATCCTGGGGTACATTATAGTTTAGATATGAAGGAGACTTAAGCAAATGATGGCGATCTTGTATATTAGGAAAACCTTGCTACATATTCAGACCATTGCCATCTGGTAGCAGCAGACCTCAAGTGCAAGAACAAAAACCTTTTGTATTCAGACAACAAAACAAAGGCTGGGCAGTAACAGTTTCAAGGAATTCTGTCAGGTTTTTTTTAGGGGGGAGGCACTGGTTTATCTTATCTCTCCCGGTGTAACTTTTCTTTTATCAGGTTTAAATAGTCAGAAGAATGCCTTGGGAGTTTAAGAATAGTCTAAGAATGCAATGGAGTTTTTAAAAACATTGGTGCTACTTCAACAATGTTTATGTGCTGACACGACAGTGGTTCAGAGTTTGCTCCTTTAAGTGTGGTCTGTGACCAGCAGCGGTGGAATCCCCTGGGAGCTTGATGGAAATGCAGAATCTCAGTCTCAGGCACCTCCCTGGACCTGCTCAATCAAAGTCTGCATTTTAACAAAATCCCCAGGTTATTTGTGTGCACATTAGTTTTGGAAGCACAGGTGTAGATTATGCTGAGAAGACATTAGTGAGCAATGTGAAACATGCCGCTGAAGCAGGTGTGCTTGGATTACGATAACCATAGAAGATACAGTGAAATATGGTGAGTTTTATGTGTTCACTACCTTGCCCACTGACAGCTCAGCATCAGCACTTGCCCACTCCCCTCTCTTAGGCTTGCTGAGTTTAGCTGTATAGGAGCCCATCTTTCCCAGTGGGTCATGAGTTCATTGAGAACAGAGATAAACATCTGTCTTTCTGACTTCCAACAAGTATTGGTAAAGATCGGGTGCTCAAGTTGTTGAATAATCTCTCCTATACTCAAGAAGCATGTAGGCAACTGAATAAGAATAAGACCTTCTCCCTTGGGAGAGATAGATAAGAAACCAATCAAGTGCAGGTAAAGCTATTAAGACCGAAAGATGTACAAGAAGAGTGGGGCCCAGAGGAGGAAGTGAGCGTTCATCAGGCTGGAGGGTAGTGATGGTAGCAGTGGTGGGCTGAATAGAGGAAATGACATGAAAGCTAGGTTTTGAGGGGCTGGTGGCTACAAAAGGCCACTTACATAGTGGAAACAGTTTGAACAAATGCTTGGTGTCATGAAACAGCATGGCAGGTTCAGGGACTGGCTAGAAGCTCTGCCTAGGTATCATGTGAGATGGCAATAGTGAGTGAAATAGAAAATACTAGAAGACCCTGGCTGGTTTGCTCAGTGGTTAGAGCAATGGCCCACAGACAAAAGATTCATGGGTTC